AGAAGATAAGGAATATCTGCATTCCTAATGCATGATTGCAATGTCTAGAAGATATTATCTGTAAACTGTGACTTATCTAATTGTGGGGGCTGCTATTCTCTGTTACAGACTGAGTAGAATTCCACTGATATGATATCGCAGCTAAAGCAACTCACGCCTGACCAAGTGCCTCTATTTGTACTGATATATCTGCAGCCATGAGTAAATAAAGGGACAATTAATGAAGGGAGTCTGTGTTAAGACTTGGAAGGGAGGCAGTTGTATAGAACAAGTCATATTTAATTCATATTCAGCATGACTCACTAAATCATTCATTAATTAATTTGGATTTACATACATTTTTATTAAGAACACTTTTCACTGTAGAATTGATTGCACATTCTATAGCATCATAGATTGCTATCTTGTACCAGTATTGATAAACTGACAAAAAAGCCATTAGATTTTAGAAGTGCAAGATAATGTGTACTAGCACTGAAGTTCAGGTAAAGTGCAACTTGTTAACTGATTCTTATTTCACTGGCCATCTGCTGTAAATGCCTAGCATTTAGATGCAACCACATGTGTGTCACTCAAATTGCAATTAGCCCTGAAATACCGTAAAAGGAAAGCAATCATAACAAATTTATTGCTGTATGTTATATTTACTAGTAATAGTAAGCACTTTGAATATTTCTGAAAATTTGGGTAAATTCTGATGTAAATGCACATGTAGCCAGGTGACCATATATGTATGGAACTGCATTGCATTTTTTTTTTTTGAAATTATAAGCAGCACTGGTAAGCATTTAAATTGGAGTTCAAAGTAAAGTGAAGACCAAATATTCAGCTAGATATTAATATTAACTATTACAGCTGCCAACTTGCCAAATGAAAATATCTTTTATCTTGTTTTTTTATTTTTTAATCAAAGATTTTGTCTTAGGCCCCATTACAATAAATACCATCAGTCTATTAAGATTGATCCAACTGTGCTGGGACTCTCACCGAATGCAATCTGCAACAGATTTACAAGTCACCTCCTAGTGTAAAGTGGAATACAGAAATGCTGGTGATTACTAGTATATATATATCTATGAATATGTTGGAAACAAGAGAAGGCATCTTCATCAGTTAAGCTGATTGCACTCAGTGAGAGTCCCCATAGAGTTGGATCGATCTGCATAGACCGATAGGGTCTATGGGAATGGGATCTAGCTTATTGTAATTTATTTGCTGTTGCTTTTGATGAATGGTCATTAAGTGGTACTAATGTTTTTAGCCATAACATTCCGACTCTCACTTGAAACATGGCTGCTTACGAGGAGATACAGGACGAACTGATCAGGGCCTGGGTCATACAACAGCAACAAGACAAGATGAAGAGGCAAGATTTGTGTTGGTGTCAGGTTGGGGTGTGGAGGAATTTCTTTTTTGAAAAATTATTCTGTAAAGGTAGATTGTGTCTCAGCTTATTATTGGAGGAACTCACAGTGTCTAAATATGTGAAAGATGCCTCTGTGTATTTCCTTATCTGTAACAGGGGTGGATCCAGAGATATTTTCTGACAGTCTTCCAAATTATCTTTGTTGATCCATCCTCCATTTTTGACCATCTTCCAACAGAAAAAATTAGATTCCCGTCAATGTAAACTAAAAAATATATCTTCCAGAAGACCCAGAAGACAGCCTCAATCCACCCTGTGTTACTATGTTGAAGTGTCCATGCCACATTTCATTTTTTTAAAATCAAAGATATATTAGAAAGATGATGCATTTGAGTACTTGTTCAGTTTGACAACTTGAGTGTAAATTTAATCTTAATTTTGTGATAAAATCTGCAGTCTGGGAGATGAAAAAAGATCTTTTTGGAACTCAACCCCAAGGATACTGGGGTTTTAAATTTGTAGAAATACTGGAGGTTCTCTGGATATGTAGGAAATCTACAGTTTTTTTGTTCAAAGACTTTTAACGCACTAGCTACATATACACTTTGGTCAGTTGTCTTTTGTGAGTTCAGTCAAAATTATTAACTTTATGAGAAAGTGGGAATGCAAAGGAGTTGGATTGTGAAAATCTTTATTTCTAAAATCTTAAGAGGGATATGAATTTGATTAAAATTACAAGGATTTACCAAGTTGTATGTGGGCCCAAAATTGATAACTGTTCTTGGATTTGTCATTTTGGCAGAATATCTACCATTGTTTCAACATAATGCATTTAAATCTAGGCAGTGATTATTCTTGCCTTCTGGAAACCTATTCTGCTTCAAAAAAGAATAGTTTCTGTTTTCACAATAATTATTGCAGATTGTTTTATTGAACAGAAAATGTCAGCAAAACCAAACAGACAAATAAAATTGTTTCTTTGTTGGTGCCACACTTAATGCCTGATGTCTTTGGTCAAGTCATGCAAATATGTTGGTAAGAATGCTCTCCTGTAAAATTGGATGCTGTTTGCAGAATAGCATCTTAAACGTTCTTGATAGCATGTTTGAATGCTTGGCGTAAGGGATTTTCAGGTTTGCTGATTAGAGATCTATACCTAACGGAATTGGGATTTCGTAAACCCCAATGTGCGTAGGTTTATTTGAAATGTGGTTAGGGGTAGATCTAATTAACTCTTGAGTAGGCAGAGCAAAAATGTACCTGTTGACTGAGAAGTCATTTTTCATTCCTCAGCTGGTAATGCATTATTATAATGTGAAAGTGGCTCCAGTGGGCCATTCTTCACACAGCCTGGGCTTATGACAGTATGACTATAGTTTTTGTTATGAATGAATAGGGTAAACCTGTTTATGCACACAGTAATGAGTATGATGAAGCAGTTTGTATACAGACAAAGTAGTGTTGCTTGTAAATGTTTTCCCTTTGTAAGAATAATTATAGGGCTGTTTGGAATACAGTAGTTAGGAGATACGATAGTGCACCATGCTATATAGTAGCAATATGAAACTAGTTGGCTCTTCATATTTTTTTTCATAATAGATTTGTTTCATTTATGTCATTTCTAAAAATATTTTTTGCTACTGAGTTGGTCCAGCATGGTTGACCATCATTAAATGTTTATCTATAATGGTGGTTTGATATGCTTTCCACCTGTTTTATGTGACAAATTATGCGAATGGCAATTTTATTGTGTTAAATTAAGCAGTGACCCAGTTAAAGTTTTTGTGACTTATTGTCTGACTGGGTATATTGCCTGACACTTGCAGTTAAAGAAGGTTATTAAAATGGAAGTTCAGAACCGCAACATTTTATTGGGGTTTCATAAAGGTTAATGTACCCCGTTACTGGATATACACTTCCCAAGTGTTTGGCATTCCTCCTAATATGTTTATTTAATCAGTTGATTGGAGTTACGTTTTATAAAGAATTCTTCATTATTTTAGACATTGATTACCTTAAGGTAAAGGTAATAATTGTGCAGCTCGAGTAATTCAATTAAAGAAAGGAACCAGAAAAAGCAACTGCTTGTATTGATCAAATAGCTTGAGGATCAATACCTAGCAATTGCCAATACTGGTGTAATTCCTTGCTTCTCCCAGGGCAGTTAATTTTTGATATAAGAGCTGCGGATAAGTGTTATGCTATTGTGGTGGAAGTGATATTATTACTGTCAGGAGCTTGTGAAGGAATCTGGGAGAATGTCTTCGTCAGAGTCTGAAGAAGACAGTTGGGATTGCCTGTGAGTGGAAAATACTTAACGTGATTACCTTCATTTTCCATTTTCATTTACTGCTCCATTGCTCAAAAATTTTAAACAATCTACTGTATGTCATAGTCTCCAGCAGCTTTGTTTAAATTGCATAAAACCTGCGTATGTTAAAAAAATGAGGATCTTGGAAGTGTTTTTTATAGTTGCTATATGAGAAGATAGGAAGAAATTATTTGCTGGGTTCAATAATTGGTGGTGTTGGTGGCGAGAGCGTGAGTCACCCTGTGATGCTCGAGCAATAACACCTTGATAACCGAGCGGCGCGGTAAATTGTTAAAATACTGAGATAGATACTTGAGCGAGGTTGACAATTATTGAAGGTGGATTTACACAACAAAGATGTTATTTGCTGTGACAGAATAACAGTTGGAAAAGCAGTTGTTAGCACGATCAAATGTGTTTGAATGTGTAGCTTAGTTCTCAGTTGTCTTTTTTTACAATATAAGTAGTACATGTTAACTGTTACCACATGGGTTGAATTTGAATCTCTTGGATTCATGAAATGTTACCAGTCTGGTATTGGATGTGATGTGCATCCTTTTGTTATCGTGAGGGACTTCCCTTTGCACCATGGCCTCCAGAGAACACTGAAAACTGATACCAGAAACTTCCATGTATGGACACAGAGGCATGCTGAGAGCAGAGAGATGACTTTCTAGTATCTTCTGAAACTCAGGGTGTTTCTTTTCCTGGAGACGGGTCTCTGGGTGTTCTTCTGGGGTCTTTGGGTGTTCGCTTTGGTCTTAGTGTCAGGCTTGTATTTATAATGAGGTAGTTCACTGACTGAAATGGAGTATAGAAATGTTGACAAAAATTCCCATATGTAGAAGGTTTGTATTTGTAATGGAGACTGCCTGAAGCTTGATTTTAAGAGATTTTAATGAGTGATATGAGTGGTTTGAGGTGGGCACAGATATGTTCAACAACTGGCAGATATGTTCGATGATGTTTGTAGTTATGCACACATGTCAGGTCAACTGAAGGAAGCAGGTGATCGAGCTTGCTGTATAATTAGTCAGGATAATTCCATTTGAATTGACCATTTGCAGCAGTTCTGATCCTTTGGGAATTCAGTATTCGAAACATGTTTTGCAGATTCTGATTTAGATGATATGGCTTTTTTAAAGGGACAATCCTACAAAAAAATGAGAATAGGTGAGGTTAGAAACTTCACATACTTGATGCAAATTTAAAGGTCTTTAGAAATATTACTATTATGTGAATTGATATTGAAGACCTTCAGATAAAGATGATTTCACATGACATTTAGACTACATAGATTGTTTCTTATAAGTCATTGTCTTCTTGTACAAATTTTTGTGGCATAAATATATTGAGTGATGGGTAATTACTAACAGTAGGCATTATGCAACTTTAATCATCTATTATTTGTGAGCGTATCCTGTTGGCAGTTATTTCTGTGGATTGTGTCATAATTTGTTAAAACTTTCATGAAAACAGCAACATTTTTCACGGTAGTAAGATTCTTGTGTCCAGCTAGTTAGACAGAAGACCATTGTAAAAACTATCTCAGCCATGTCACTGAGTACAAGGTATGACATTGGGGAATTCTTCAAATTATATATGAATTACTATTTATGGATCGATTTCAGTAATGGGTTATTACATGGTATCTCCCTCAAGCTCCGTAACTTATTTCCCTTCCTAAAATTTTTGTCATTTCCATTTATGCCAGTTTGGCCCAAGAGAGTTGAAAACTGGAGCATATTGCTTGTTTTTTCTTTTTTAAATGGAGATGAAGATTAGATTGAAAATGATTTATGGAGGGGGAAAATGTTACAGACAGGAAAAATACTGTAGAATGGCCTGTTCTGCAAATTATCTGTTCCTGGCTGTGATTCACATATATTTCAAATATTCCCCAAAGATATGCATACAAACTACAGAACAGTCCATGCAATATCCAAAATCGATACATTTATTTCTATTATTCACTTTTTTTGTGTGGTCTAAACTAATCACATTTACCATTATTATATATATATATATATATGTATAAAGTAACCCATTGCTCTGGATGATTTCTTAGGACTATTTAATCATTGTGAATGTATTTTTCCAGGGAGCAGCCCATCTACACCACCAAGGCTCATGTGTTCCAGATAGACCCCCAGACCAAGAAGAACTGGATGCCCGCCAGCACAGTGGCTGTTAGTGTAGCCTACTACTATGACAGCAACAGGAACTCCTACAGGATCATCAGTGTGGAGGGAACCAAGGTTAGTGATTCCGGCTTTGTTTTAGCAGTGTGCTATATAGATTTTCTTTCATTTTGAAAATTAACTTGTGGAACGTGCTAAACAAAAGTGCCTAGCATGGAAACCAAATCAAGCTTCTGTTATCCAGTTACCACCATTGTTAAAAATTAAATATAAGCATATTAATAAATTGACTCTTATTAAAAGAATAAGTGCTTGACAGTATCTTATTTTAGGCCATGAAAACATGAAAATTAACAGAATTCTATTATTAAAAATGATTTTTACTAGAAAACTTATTAACTGTAAAAGCATTTCATAAGTCTTTAGTATGAGAGATTTACAAATTATATTAAGATCTATTTTTGACATTAAATTGTCAAGGAAAATTTTATCTTATTATTTCAGGCCATCATTAATAGCACCATCACACCTAACATGACCTTCACCAAGACATCACAGAAGTTTGGACAGTGGTCAGACCCAAGGGCTAACACAGTGTATGGACTGGGCTTTGCTACAGAAGCAGACCTTCAAAAGGTAGGGATGGTCACTTCAGCAAATGGCCAATGGGCACCTATATAGAGCCTGCTACCTTGATATCCTTATTTCCTTGTTTCCTAAAAGAAACCCTTTTAAACCCAGGTCAGAAAATTTCCACCATGACATTGTTGATTAAACGCCTTTGTTTTTTTCTCGTGTTTAATCATAACAGTGACTTAATTGTGGCGTGTTAAAAGCTTCAACAAAACCCCCTGCTGTGTTGTATATCATTTTTATATATACACTTTGCACTCAGCTTCCTCGTATGGGTTGTTTGCCATGTAGGACCTGTTCTTTTCTCTAACAATAAATCGGGACTTCCTCATCATGACCAGATTGGTGGGTTGGTGAGTGTGGTGAAAAAAGCTTTGTGATATGGGGGGGAGGGGGGGGGGGGAATTAAAAATCTGTACTACTGGTACGGCTGGAAAATGTCAGCTAGATAACCACATGGTCAAACCCTTGATGGGACAATTATTGAACTTGCAACAAACTGTTCAGCACACAACGTAAGGTTGATAAGTACAAACTATACACAAAGTACTATAGAAAAGTAATTTTCCTCTATTGGACAGCCAAGAAATATGCCCTAAGAAGGAAGGCTAAGATTTAACCAATGCTGCTTGTTTTATGCTCTTGCCACCATTTTGGATACATGTACATGTACTCTTAAAAAAATAAAAAATCAAAAAATCAATGTAAATAATAAGATAATTGAATTTTGACTCGACACTGATCTACATTTCCATTATTATGTCTCAAGATATTTTGCAAATCCAAATCTCAGACTAAATTTACATTTACACCCATTTTTACTACTATTAAAAAAAGATTAAAAAAGATTAGATGGAATAATTTTTTTTGTTTGTTTTTTTCAGTTTATAGAAAAGTTTCAAGAGGTGCGTGAGCTAGCTAAACAGACGCCTGGTGAGAGCAATGGTTCAGGAGAACCCCACTCCCCCCTGGCTACCCACCCTGTACATGCGGCACCACTACATTCCAGGAATTCCAGTGTGTCTAGTAATCAGGTGAGAGAAAGGTAACTCTGACAAAGAGCACTTAGCTAAATGCCTGATTTAGCCAAGGAAAATGAAAAAAAATTAGGTTCAACATAAGGCTCAATTTATTTTGGCTAAAACTATTCAGCAGTTTGGAGAAAAAGTAGAATTATTGTAGACTTTATCAGCAGTTAAAAGTCTTATAAATTTATATGCATAAAAATCGATTGAAAACGAAGGAAAAAATAAGATTTAAATTGTATAATTTTTTAAATATTAAAAAAGGGGGATGTTACCTTTTCAGAGTGATGGGTCTGAAAAACAACAGCGTTTGTCTACCTCCGGTCTTCCTACAGTTGAATACCAGCTCAAGTATGAAAATGACAGGCTAAAGATTGCTCTAGCACAGAGGTAAGTACTGTTTGGTAGCATTTTTAGCAGTAACATTTTGTGTCCCCCAAGGCATTGTGTAAATTCCTTTAACTTGTGTGTTTTTGTGAATATATTTATATTGCATGCTTTTAGAAACAAATTTAATTTAGATGTATGAATATGTTATACAGTTTTGGGTTTGTTTTTTGGGTTATTGGTGTAAATTGGTTTATGTCTTCACATTTAATTGCACTTCTCTCATTTCAGCTCTGCCAATGCTAAAAAATGGGAAATTGAACTCCAGACATTAAAAAACAACAATGCTCGTCTGACAACTGCTCTGCAAGAAAGCACTGCTAATGTAGAAGAATGGAAGAAACAACTAGCAGCATACAAAGAGGAGAGTGCCAAGTTGAAAAAACAGGTAGATTTGGATTCCAAGATTATGAATGTGGAGTATTTAATAGAGAGCAGTCGTGAAGTGAAAATGGTATGATAGGTAATAACATGAAACATTTCTACTTGACACTGGTGACAACTCAAAATTAGTTCACCTGAAGGCCTTGTTAAAAGGTCAGAATGTCTTGATCTACGTTTCTAGGTAAAATCCAGTATAAGAATTACTTTTTATTATCTTATACCCCATTCACACTACAGTTGCAAAAATGCGCATTTCTATAATCCGAATTTTTCGTGAGGAATTCGATTCGGTATTGCGTTCACACACGCTAAGCAAAACCGAATTACACGTTGAAAATTTCAGGTTTAACTTCCTGTTTTGAACACTCACGCATGCGCCGCACAGGAAATCTTAAAATACCAACAAAAATTTGTGACGACAAATGCAACTCTAAAGACATTCCAGCATTCTTGAGAAGTATAAGATGGCAAAATAAGTTTGTTTCCTCATGTTGTAGTGAGTGGTGACCTCCAAATATGTTTGGTGCAATCGCTAAAGTAATAAACAAGCGTTCATAGATACCCACACTTATCTGCACACATGCGCAGTTAGATCTGTACAGGTGTCGATTCTGGTAAGTTATCCGAATCGCGCTTAGAAATCCACCTCGCTTGCAGGATTTTGAAAATTCGCATTACAAAAATCCTCTTGCGTTCACACTGCATTTATTCGAATTGTGACCTAATTCGCAATTTATCCGGATAACTGAGCGTAGTGTGAACAGGGTATTTGTGTAATGAAACTGGATGAATCAGAAATTTAACTTTGATTTACAAATTGCTTTCAGTTTCCAATTTTTAAATACCATGTGCTTCATAAATCAATGGAAAATAATAAAACTTCCACTAACTTGGATGCTGATGGGCGAGATTAGTTACCGGTATTCTTTGAAACGCGGGGTGATTTCATTGGTAGCTTGTAACAGATCTCACACTTGTTGTTCTCAGTTACCGTGATACAGATAAAAAGCTTTACCTTGTTTATATCATTGATTAATCAATATTATCTGTTTTGTAACTTAATGATGAAAATGTTATCATTTTTTTGTCGGTATTTCCACAGACAATTGAGTTAGAGCAGACTGCTAATGATGAGCAAATTTCTGGGCTGCAGCAGCAGTTAAAGGAAACGACAGAACAACTGCAGGCTGTTGAACAAGAAAGGGACAGCACTACAGAGGTAGTGAATATAAATATTTATTAGATAATTAGCATAGATTATGATCTTAAATTGGTGAGTTTTAGGTCTGACAAAACATAATATTGACTGTTAACATCATTGGTGATGTTTTGACCAACAAAAGAAAAGGAACTTTGTAACTTTGGAAGGACATTGATGTTTTGGTCTCTTATCTTTTTTCTGTGGTCTGCAAAACAACATATTGAACTTAGCCATAGCCAATAATTGAATAATAGAAATAGTGTTCCTGCACAATGACAGACATGTTTTTCTTTGTCTTTTGTAGTTTGTTCAGAATATGGTCAGAGTCAGGCAGGTTAATGTATGCTTGTATACTTGGTATGCCTATACATGAAAGTATTTCTAGACTGGCTTTGTACAACACAGGACACAGGACCCACATAAAACACTTGTTGTAGCCATGTTTTAAATGTTGTTGCACAAAGTTGATTTGGAGTCTATAATTATATAACAATTTCTCCTCCAATTCCCGTTTCATTTGTGTTCAAGGAACTGAGAGGGGCACTTAAAAGATTAGAAGAACTTAACATTAGGGTGGAGCAAAATGGAAAAAATGAAGCCCATATAAAGGTATAGAAAGCTATAAAGTATAAACAATGTACTGGTATAAACAATTTTTTAAAGAGAGAGAGGGGGAGATACAAAGGTCCATTTACACATTTCTATTTATTTTGTTGGAGCAAAAAAAAAAAATTAATTTTCTGTCAAAAACTTCATTTTTTAAGTATTCATTTAACTGAGTATAATATTATCTGTGTTATCTTAATATACTGGTTTGATATCTTACTATTTGTTTCTAGTGCTTTTGACCAATCAGGAAATGGGGATGCCACCTGATATATACTGTACTTTTGTCTTCTAGGACCTAGAAAAAGAGAACAGCACTTTGCGCAAAAAGGTGTCTTCCTTGGAATCTGAATTGAAACAGCTGAAATTACAACAGTCTAAAGACAGGCATGAATTGTTGACGTTACATAAAGATATTGGAACAAAATTACAAGAAGTTACAAAGTTGCATGAAAAATTGGCACATCATCCGGTCCTGAGTCAAAGTGATGCCTAGATGGTGGCAGTGAGGAGATTTGCCTAATACTTTTATGCAGTTATAATTCTGAAGCATGGGCTTCATGTGCATGCATTGAACAAGTTTAAATGTTCCTTAATAATTTCATGCCATGTAGTACAGCAATGATGAAGCATATTTATAGAATGGTGAAGAAATTCGAGTGCTAAGAGTGCTGTCCAAATGGAGTGTCATTGTACTTGCCAGGGTATCGAGATGTTTGATTTATACATATTATATATATATATATGTGTGTGTATACACTTTACAGTATTGCTCTTTAACTCAATCACAAGTTAAGTGCATTTTTAAAGTTATATTTATAGGATTAACAAATTTATTCTGTATATCCCAGTATCCATCTGAAACTGCTGATTGCAAACCTTTATTGAAATTAGGGTTCTAGTCTGCTTAAAATCAAAATGTTGTTTTAGGATTAGGAATCTCTGTTATTATCTTTATTCTTTTGTTATATATGTATATATAGTAAAGCAAATGAAATGAAGAGGTTGATTTACATTAGAGCACAATATGCTGCTAGGCTTCTCACAGCTGAATAGGATGTCCTTACAACTTCAGGTGTCTTCTCATTCAGTTGATACAAATGGTGCATTAGACGAGTTGCATTTGTCAATAATTTCTTTACTGATACATCTCCATTTTTGACAAAGATGTAGATATACTTCTAATAGTTGTGACTACTCACATATCACACTTGGACAGAATGATAAATGCAGCATATCATGAACATTGATTGATGCTATAAGATATTTTGATGCCTGAACTTTTTGATATTCATTAGTAAAACTACTACTTTTGACAAGCCTGTATTACAAAAGAAACTAAATACCAGTTGGCTACTAGATGCTGAATGATACCAGTCCTACTCGTTTGTTCATAGCTGTTATCAATTTAGTTGAGATAATCACAGATAATGGAAGACACAGGGTCAACATGTTGGTTGGGTGATAAACTCCTAACGTTTTGCCAACTATGACTGCATTCCAGAGTAATTTTAATCAGAATGTTAAATTTCTACCATGTTTGTGAAAATTTAAGGTAAGATGGTTTTTTAATTTTAAGAAATCATTTGTGTCATTTCAGATTGATGCAAGTCGATAAATTTTCTGTTTTCAACTTTCCTCAGTATTTACCCACCCCTTTCTGGTTTAGATACAAACTTTGAAATATTGTGCATAAGAATACATATTTTAAAAGCCATTTCTCTTACTGTGTTTAGTCAATTTGCAATTTCAAGTTTTTTTTGTATCTGGTAGAAATGCAAGTTTCATAACTTTTAATACATGGGGTACCTTTACAGCAGGCTACCTGATTAGAAAATAAGTGGCTTTAAGTGAATATCCCCCAAAACAGCTTCTGAGATTAAGTATTTGAAGGGATTTTATTGCTGCTATGGACTGCTGTTTTAATGTTCCCACAAAGCAGTCAGGTAGAAACAAACCTTTGCCTGTATAACAAGTTATCATATATATATATATATCAGTGTTATTTTACCAAGACATCATTTTTGTCTTATGTATGTGGTTAATATTTTTCTATGCAATGCCAACTTATATAACAGAGTAAGTTGCCCTATACAATCATTATGAATAAATGTATTTAAATATGTAACTATATCATTTGTTTTAAGGAACTTTTTTTTTGTGATCGTTTACAAATCTTTACACTCTACAGAAAAGGAGTATATTAATTTGGTAAACTGCAAATTTGCCCCTAAGGTCTGTATGAGCCATGTATTAGATTTCACAAGGTGAAAACATATCTGCACCTTCCCCCACCCAATATGCTTTGTTGCAGGAGAGGTTATTAGGCAGTGTATTCAGACATAATAGGAACATTTTCTGAGACAGCTTTAGAAATATTTATTTCTTGATCTTTAAACTGTTGATTACTTTTGAACTTGTACTGCACAATAGCTTAAACTTAAGTATCCCTGATTTTTTTCTACTTCATCATTGTGACAATGTTCTATAAACATTTACGTACCCTAAAAAACTTAGGAATCTGACGTACAAAACCATAAATACCATGCAAAACTGAAAGAAATGTGAAGCACAACACTGCCTGCTTCTGAGGTTTTAAATACGAATGCAGACAATGCAGTTGGCAAACAATGAATCACATGCATGTTCAATGTATATGAAACTAAATGGAATGTTGGCGGATACTGATACTAGACTTAGTATAGTGAATGAAGCAGACCTGCACACCTGTAACAGGCCAGGCAATATGTTACAGGCTGGTTCAAATCCTGGCATTAGTTTTTGAAAAAAAAGTTAACAACGATGATTAATAATTAAGTCTGTTTGAAGTAACTTTAACATGTCAAATCATGAGTTATCATGATATTCTCTATAGTTATTCCAGCCGATACAGTTTTTCTGTGTATAACAATTTCATGCAAACATTACCGAGAAAGTGACAGGGTTCCATCTAGCATCGTGAACATTTGTGGCCACACATAAATCTGTGTGTAAAAACAGCCCATTCCAATTAGGCTATTCTACTGATCTTCTTTTGTCGTCTCCTCGCCATTGCTCCCAATGTTCACCAAGAAGTCAGGTAATTTGAGTTCTCGGCGCACATAGAACAGTATGTATGCCTTACATTTGGCCACAGTCTCCTCCTCACACACAGATACGTTACTGTCATTGAAGTGGTACCAACGAGAATCGTGGTAAGCATAGGCAGTGTAGTGGCCAGAACCAGCCCTGGAACAGAATACAAATCCCTTACTTCAGATATCAGTGTTAGGTGAACCTGTTTTGACTAGACATAGTATGTTAAGGTTTTGACAATTTAAAGAAAATCTGTACTGAATATATGAAAAACAAAATTGAATATTTCAATCCAATCCAAACAGATTATATTTAAATGGAGAAGAAATTATTAAAGTTAACCAATTACTACTTAAGCAGCTGTTAATATAAGCACAGAAATTACAAGAGAACATTGAAATACACACCTTCATATACAAAAAAAAAAAAACAAATAAGTCTTACCCTGATCCATGATGAACTACTACAGCAGCTAGATCATACAGATTACTACCAGAGCAGCTGTTCCTTGTTTCATGCTAAAAGCACAAAAACAAAATCCATTTTCAAAATGACCATACTGTCGCAAATTTGTGCAGTACATTTAAAACAACTGAACGTGTATGTTAATGTAACACTTACGCCAGAAGGAAACTGATTAAATATAACATTATTTTTATTTTTAACCTTTAATGCAATGACAATTTTGCTGTTTATCTGTGAGAACAATGTTACGTGTAGCATACATGGGGAAAACGGTGAAATGGTGAAGGTCCAGTGGATCTGCACTACAAGAAATCATCAGGTCCTCCAATTTTTGTGCTCATCCAAACTCGGTAATTTATTTCTGTTACTCTGTGTTCACAAGTAATTTATTTTTATGTACAAAAATCTTGTCAGTCTAGCAGACCTGCCATATCAGAAATCTTGCAGGTCCTATGACATTTTAAGTGGTCATGACCTGTTGGACAGGCAGTTTCCCCCATGTCTGCTTAAAGTCAAAAACATTGGTTTTGAAAATTGTTGCAAATCTTTCGCATGGTGTTGTGTGTCTGAATATTTTTATGTACAGAACCAAATCTCACCATGTTATTAAGCACATATTCATTCATGTCCAGACCATGTATAGGAAAATTGACCAAAGTTTCTAGTTTCACTCTATAGTGCGAGCTCCAGCGAAATCTTTTAATATGTAAACAAAGTACCTGAAAGGAAAAGAATGGATTCTTAAACATTTAAGTCTGAAATCATTGAACGCTCAGCCAAATTTCAGCTACATAAATATAAGTGTACATCAGAATGGATGAAAAGTTTTTACAGTTAAGAAAGTGAGTAAAACTTTTCTCATTATGACCATGTTTGGATACTTTTCACTTTTTCTATATGTAAAACATATAAACCAGTTTTCTAGGTCACTCTGCTGATGTTCATTTGTGTTGCCTCATTTAGCTTTCTAAGGCAATTCATTCTCTTTAAACATTAGAATCTTCATTCAAGATTACCAACTGCAAACATGTAACTGATATTTGCAATTGATATAATTAATCAAAAAAAGGATTTGCTACGAATGACATTGCTCCTTATTGTTACCATCAACCTGGATTTTGACAGAAAATTAGAACCCTTGAATCTTAGAAATTTCTCTTATACATCATGCATAAAATTTTTTAATTTTTGCCTTAGGCAATTATTTTCATTGATGCTGTGTTAAATTATTTCCTTTAAGCTTATAAATGCCAAACCAAGTTTCCCTCCAAAGAGTTTGAGCAACAAGAAAGACACCAGTGACTAACATTTGGCAAGCGTCTTATCCAGAATTGTTTAGTTGACCGCTGTTTCCGTTTGCAAGTGCCGCAATTGTACAGCTCCGACTCCTCTAATTCTTCTACCTCAGTAAAGTGGGACAAGCACTCTGAAAAGACAATGCATCATAACACTAAAAGAATAAGGTCAGCTGTTGATCAAGCAAAAAGTACATTTTTGTCACATTTCTTAAAATCTAGTAGATATTGGACATATACTTTAATTCTGCAGGTCCTTTCCTAATACAATGTTTATACTGGAGACCCATTCATCTGTAATCAACTAATTCAAAACCAATCTTTTAACTTTGACCCAAACTGTTTACATAATCAAAAAACTATCACCAACAGACAAAATCAGCATTCTTTTAAAATTAAAATATCAGTTTCACTTAATATTCAATTCATAAATATCTTCATTTTCACTTAGTATTTAATTCACAAATATGTAACAGCACTTAAATGTAAGTGTAGAACAGTTTCTAATAATAAATCATAATTGTTTCTAACGTATTATTGCTACATCTTTGTATCTGTCAAATGTTACTGCTGTGTATACTATCTAAACCCACCTGACAAGTTGACAAGTCCTTCCTTACAATCAGGAATATCTAAAGAGAGATCTGGAATGGCGGAAACCACAGCCCAATTTATCAATTTATGCCATGTTATTAAAGAAATGTCTCCTAATGAATAAAACAACTATGAACACAAAATCTTACATACATGATTGCTATACGGAGATTCTAACACATTAACAAATAAAAAATTCATGTCCTTTTTTGTGAAAAAACATCCGAGGGGCACACCAACAGATCATCCTTACCAAGGAAAGGGTCATGTTTCTTGGAATCTGTTCCACATATAAGACAGTTTACTTCATTTTGAAGAAGACCACCAAAGATGGCAGTCACAATTGTACTTTTTCCTTTTGGTCCTATGTATGGACTGGAAGGATTAGGGTACGGGAGAAGAGTCAAAAGCTCTGTGTGTAAACGGTCCAATAAATACCGCATAAACTCATGAGCATCCTGTTGTTGATAACCCCTGAAATTACAAAGAAAATGAATGTTTATATTATTAATGAAGAAAAGAGAACATTATTAACCCACTAAATTCAATAAAAAGCCTTGAAACTAAACTATAAGAAGTACATCATAATTACTATGCATTTCAAATATTTGACAATATTAATGTTCATTCTTTCTTTCAAACATACCTAAATCTAGGCACTACTTTCCATATAACAGAAAAAAGTGACTCTGGGGAGATTGCAGACTTGTTCCCTTGCCACAGTTGTATCAGTGTTTTTCTTAGTTCTTCTACCAGCAAACTGCAAAATAAATGTCAAAGTCAGTAGTTACTATTGCAGATTAATAATGTACATGTCAGATGGACTTACAAAACTAAACAGCAAAGGCTGTTACATATGTACAGCACAGTGGTTGCATCATAACTGCATTAAGAGAACAATCAATGCAATTCTTAGTAATTTAAACAACGTATCAGTTTTCACATTTACAAATTTAATGATGCAATTCTGCAAAATGACAAGCTGTTAAACAGAAATGTGAAAATTGAGTATCATCTTTTACTCCATTCATAATTCACAGTATGCAGTATGTTTGTGGGAAAGTAGTAATATCAACAGATCGTGTTAAAAAACAAACTGACACAGGAATACCTTGATTTTAGCTAAAAGCACCAGCATAACAGTTGCTGTCAGGTTTACTATATGATATCAGTTTTCCATGAACTTATTTTTAGTCTCCTTTACATTGGTAGCAAAAAAACAATATCTGTTTTGTATAATACTAATACCATTTTGATATAATGAAGATTAATTCAAAACTGTTGAGAACAAAACTTTTACAAAATAAATTACTTCAAAAACGTACATGTCATCATCTCGTCCATTTCTATACCTGGTCACATTTGCTCGAGGCTTCTTCTTTTCCAGAGATGGCAATTGTTTTATGTAGCCACAGAACTGCTGAATGTTACTGAAACACAATACATCACTTGAATTCAGTATGCCTCATGACAAATAAACATGGCCAAATAAGCATCAGCTAGGGTTGTATCTCCCAAGGAAATCGAGACTGATTCAAGACTCAACAGATCCATTAAACCCAGGTGTAAACTGTAAGATAAGCTGATTTTGTTTATAACGGATATCAGGGTTTAAATACAACCTATACCTTCAAATGGCATGCACTAAACATATTCTCAAATTCTATGATCTATACCTAAGCGACTGCAGCACAGCGTTCATAA